CGGGACTGCCTACTACCATCAATAGCCTCCCACCGACCAGTACGCTCCCACAGAGAGGGGCTCCTCCAGGTGCCATCAGCCAAACAATGTCGGCTGTCGGCCCCTAGGGGGAGAGCCTTCTCTGTGATCTGGAATGAGCTCCCCCTGGAGATACAGAGGATTCCGGATCTGCGCACCTTCCGCCGCGAGCTGAAGACTCTTTTATTTCATCAAGCTGGCCTCGCCTAAATCTTCTCCCTTTTAAGTGTAAATTTTAAATTTTTACTGTATTTTAAAATATGGGTATTTTAAATTATGGGTATCAATTCAGCCAAATTTATTTAATTCATTTTATTTGATTTTAAATTTTGTATATGTATATGTTTTATTTCATGGCTGTTCACCGCCCTGAGTCCTTCGGGAGTAGGGCGGTATAGAAATTCAATAAAATATAAATATAAATATGACATGTTTGACCCCTCCCTTGGGCTCATTCTGGTCACCTCCTATATCCACTCACTGCCAATTCTCAGATGATTGGAAACTTTGAAACAGTGAGTCCCATGTTATCAAATAGTCATTGTCATCTCTGCCAAGGTAGGCATCATAACAGCAAGAAAAAGTCTTCACATGGACATGCTGGCACCACTAACATCCAGTCAGAAATTGGTGGCAGATTTTTCAGATCCTCTGTGCTTTTCTTTATCTTCAGTAACTGATTGGTTGTGCCCACAACCCGACAAGTGATGACGATAGTTTCACATAATTAAAGTGCAAAGGAAGAGCAAGCTCTTATTAAAATAGGATTATGGATCATTAAGAAAAGACATCACATGACAGGGGCTTCCAAGTTCCCACAAACAAAGTCAATGGGGAAGTTCCTTGGGTAGAAAAGTAATGGGGAACAACCTGTCAGCTTATTGATTTTGGTTATAAGAAGCTAGCAGGGAAGCTTACAAATGGTGATCATGTGAGCACCGGATGTTGCAACCATCATTTATTTATTTATTTATTTGTTTCAATTTCTATACCGCCCTTCTCCAATTAGGACTCAGGGCGGTGAACAGCCAAAGTAAAAAACAGGACATAGAAAATTTAAAAACAGTTTAAAATAATTAAATATTTTGGCCGTAAATTAAAACAACCCAATTTAAAATCAATTTAAAATTTAACTCAAGCCAGCCCAGCTAGTTGAAATAAATAGGTTTTCAGGGCCTGACGAAAAATCCGGAGGTCTGTTATTGTATGTATCTCTGGGGGGAGGTTGTTCCAGAGGGTGGGCACCGCCACAGAGAAGGCTTTCCCCCTGGGGGTCGCCAGCCGACATTGTCTGGCAGACGGCACTCTGAGGAGGCCCACTCTGTGCGAGCGTACTGGCCGGTGGGAGGCTATTGGTGGCAGAAGGCAGTCTCGTAGGTACCCCGGCCCTAAGCCATGGAGCGCTTTAAAGGTGGTCACCAATACATTGAAGCACACCCGGAAGACCACCTGGAGCCAGTGCAGCTCGTCGTCCCCATAATCCCCCGCGCGGCCGCGTTCTGGACCAGCTGGAGCCTCCGGGTGCACCCCAGGGGGAGCCCCATGTAGAGAGCATTGCAGTAGTCCAGGCGGGAAGTGACGAGTGCCTGAGTGACTGTGCGTAGGGAGTCCCGATCTAGAAAGGGGCGCAACTGGCGTATCAGGCGAACCTGATAAAAAGCCCCCCTGGCCACGGCCATCAAATGATCTTCTAAAGACAGCCGTGCATCCAGGAGGACGCCCAAGTTACGAGCCCTCTCCGTGGGGGTGAGTGATTCACCCCCAATAGCCAGCGATGGCGTCAGCTGGCTATATCGGGACGCCGGAAGCCACAGCCACTCGGTCTTGGAGGGGTTGAGTCGGAGCCTATTTCTCCCCATCCAGGCCCGCACGGCCTCCAGGCACTGGGACATCACTTCAAGGGCATCGTTGGGGTGGCCTGGGGTGGAGATGTACAGCTGGGTATCATCAGCGTACTGATGGAACTCCACCCCGAAGCCACGGATGATCTCACCCAGCGGCTTTACATAAATGTTGAACAGAAGGGGTGAGAGGACCGACCCTTGTGGCACCCCACAAGCAAGGTGCCTCGGGGTCGACTGCTGCCCCCCTGTCAACACAGATTGCGACCAGTCAGAGAGGTAGGAGGAGAACCACCGCAGAACAGTGCCCCCCACCCCCAACCCCGCCAACTGGTGCAACATGATACCATGGTCGATGGTATCAAAAGCCACTGAGAGGTCTAACAGGACCAGGATAGAGGAGCAACCCCTATCCCGAGCCCTCCAGAGATCATCCACCAACGCGACCAATGCCGTTTCCGTGCTGTGCCCAGGCTGGAAGCCGGACTGGAGCAGGTCTAGATAGACAGCTTCATCCAGGTACCGGGGAAGCTGTTGCGCTACCACACTCTCAATAACCTTCGCAACGAAGCGAAGGTTGGAGACTGGACGATAGTTAGCCAAAACAGCCAGATCCAGAGAGGGCTTCTTGAGGAGGGGCCTCACAACCGCTTTTTTCAAAGCGGCCGGCAGGACCCCCTCACTCAAAGAAGCGTTAACAATCTTCTGGAGCCAGCCTCGTGTTACCTCCTGGGAAGCCAGTACCAACCAGGAGGGACACGGGTCCAATAAACATGTGGTCGCATTCAGCCGTCCCAGGACCCTGTCCATGTCCTTGGGAGCCACAGGATCATGAGAACCAGTTGTCAGGTCATTATCCTCATGCCCTCGTCACCTCCCGTCTGGACTATTGTAACGTTCTCTACATGGGGCTCCCCTTGAGGAGCACTCGGAGGCTCCAACTGGCGCAGAGTGCGGCCTCGCGGGTGGTAATGGGAGCGACGTGTCGCTCCCATGTAACACTTCTCCTGCGTGAGCTGCACTGGCTCCCGGTGGTCTTCTGAGTGCGCTTCAAGGTTTTGGTTATCACCTTTAGAGCGCTCCATGGCTTAGGACCTGGTTATTTGCGGGACCACCTGCTACCACCAATAGCCTCCCACCGACCAGTACGCTCCCATAGAGAGGGGCTCCTCTGGGTGTCGTCAGCCTAACAATGTCGACTGGCAGCTCCCAGGGGGAGAGCCTTCTCTGTGGGAGCACCTACTCTCTGGAATGAGCTCCCCCCGGAGATACAGAGGATCCCGGATCTGCGTACCTTCCGTCGCGCACTCAAGATGTTCTTATTTCACCAAGCTGGCCTGACCTAAGTTTCTCCCCTTTTTAAATGGAAATTTTAAATTTTATTTATTTATTTATTTATTTATTAGATTTTTATACCACCCTCTCTCCCGAAGGACTCGGGGCGGTGAACAGCCAAAATTAAAAAACATACAATATAAACAATTAAAATACGTTTAAGACAGAATTAAATCTAAAATGGCTCCCCAATTTAAAACGCCTTACCCATACCCCTATAAATAAGACGAATTTAAAATTTAAAAATTTAAAATTTCCACATTTAAAAAGGGGGAAGATTTAGGCCAGGCCAGCTTGATAAAATAGAAAAGTCTTAAGCGCCCGGCGGAAGGTGCGCAGATCCGGGATCCTACGTATCTCCGGGGGGAGCTCGTTCCAAATCGTAGGTGCCCCCACAGAGAAGGCTCTCCCCCTAGGGGCAGACAGCCGACATTGTTTGGCCGACGGCACCCGGAGGAGCCCCTCTCTATGGGAGCGTACTGGCCGGTGGGAGGCTATTGGTGGTAGCAGGCGGTCCCGTAAATAACCAGGTCCTAAGCCATGGAGCGCTTTAAAGGTGATAATCAGAACCTTGAAGCGCACTCGGAAGACCACCGGGAGCCAGTGCAGCTCGCGCAGGAGAGGTGTCACATGGGAACTCCATGTCGCTCCCATCACCACCCGCGCGGCCGCACTCTGCGCCAGTTGGAGCCTCCGAGTGCACCTCAAGGGGAGCCCCATGTAGAGAGTGTTGCAGTAGTCCAGACGAGAAGTAACGAGGGCATGAGTGACTGTGTGTAGGGAGTCCCGATCTAGATAGGGACGCAACTGGCGGATCAGGCGAACCTGATGAAAAATCCTCCCGGACACGGCCGTCACATGCTCTTCTAACGACAGCCGTGAATCCAGGAGGACACCCAGGTTGCGGGCCCTATCCGTGGGGGCCAATGATTCGCCCCCAATAGTCAGCGATGGCACTAGCTGACTATATCGGGACGTCGGAAACCACAGCCACTCGGTCTTGGATGGGTTGAGCCTGAGCCTGTTCCTCCCCATCCAGATCCGTACGGCCTCCAGGCACTGGGACATCACTTCAAGGGCATCGTTGGGGTGGTCCGGGGTGGAGATGTACAGCTAGGTGTCATCCGCGTACTGATGGTACTTCACCCCAAAACCACAGATGATCTCGCCCAGCGGCTTTACATAAATGTTGAACAAATGGGGCGAGAGGACCGATCCCTGCGGCACCCCACATATGAGGGGCCTCGGGGTCGACCTCTGCCCCCCTGTCAACACAGACTGCGACCGGTCGGAGAGAAAGGAGGAGAACCACCTTAGTACGGTGCCTCCCACCCCCAACTCTTCCAACCGGTGCAGCATGATACCATGGTCGATGGTATCAAAAGCCGCTGAGAGATCTAACAGGACCAGGACAGAGGAGCAGCCCCTGTCCCGAGCCCTCCAGAGATCATCAACCAACGCGACCAATGCCGTTTCCGTGCTGTACCCAGGCCTGAAACCCGACTGGAACGGATCCAGATACGACGCTTCATCCAGGTACTGGGGAAGCTGTCCCGCAACCACACTCTCAACAACCTCAACAACCAAAATTTGGTCTTAAATTATTGGGGTTTTAAATTTTCAGCCAAATTATTTAATTCGTTTTATTTTATTTTAAATTTTGTACTCATATGTTTTATTCTATGGCTGTTCACTGCCCTGAGTCCTTCAGGAGTAGGGCGGTATACAAATTGAAATAATAATAATAATAATAATAATAATAATAATAATAATAATAATAATCCAAAATTACCTATAGTTAGCCATTATAACTCAGCACTCACATTGATGGACAAAGATTGTTTAAAACACCCGAAAAGGAGATTACTTTACAAGACATAATATTTTATACCTGCAGCCTATACAAAAATAGCTTCTAAAATCAGGAGCCCACATAGCTTTTCATCATTAGATGCTCCTTAGTGTTCATATCAGGTCTCAGAATAATGATGTAGCATTTGGGGATAAAGATGCAGCCCAGTAAGCCCAGGCTGGAGGCCAGGATGGAGAAGATCTGCACGGCCACCATATATTTCCCTTTGGTGCTCAGGTAAGTGGGGACAAAGGAGATCCAAACACTGCAGAAAACCAGCATGCTGAAGGTGATCCACTTGGCTTCATTGAAGGTCCCTGGGAGTTTTCTGGCTAGAAAAGCCACCATGAAGCAGATGGTAGCCAGAAACGCCATGTAGCCAAGGGCAGTGTAGAACATGGTAACTGAGCCTTCATTACACTGCAGGATGATCTGTCCTGGTTGGGAATGCAGGTCAAAATCTGGGAATGCAGGAGAAATTCCTAGCCATACAAGGCAGATGCCCACCTGAACCCCAGAACATGACAGGACAATAGAGACAGCCAAACTCTTTCCCAGCCATTTCCTCATCATGCTGCCCGGCTTTGTGGCCAGAAATGCCACCACCACCATGACAGTCTTGGCCAGCAATGAAGAAACAGCAACTGAAAAAATAATACTGAAGGTGGTTTGTCGAAGAAGACAGGTAACTTTCTTAGGTCGACCCATAAATAGAAAGGAGGTCAAGAAGGAAAGCAGGAGGGCGATCAAGAGTATGTAGGTGAGGTCCCGGTTATTGGCTTTGACTATGGGAGTTTCTCGGTACTTAATGAAGATTCCCAGAACAAAGGCAGTAGTTATGGATAAGGCAAAGGCAAAAAGAATCAGGATGAGACCTAAATTTTCTTTATAGGACAGGAAAGTTATAACCTTGGGGATACATTGATCTCTCTTCTCATTGGAATGCTGATCATCGGGACACTTTTCACAATGGGCTGCATCTGAAAAACAGAAAAACGTGTCTATAGAATTATAGGAAATACAAATGAAATCAATTACTACTACAATACATAAAACATGTTTTTTATAAATGATGGGGTGAGAGAAGATATTGACAGAAGTGGAGAACATATTGGAAAACACTTATCCATCATACTTAGTCAAACCTAAGTAGGAAATGTGAGAAAATATATTAATGCATAAATCCTTCATTAATCGTTTTCATCTTCTCTACTACTCATTTATTGATACTATATTATATTCTATTATTGTTACTGTGTTGCTTCTGGTCCAGAGACAGACTCACACTTGGCCAAATAGAGTTTCTATTCTATTCTGTTCTGTTCTGTTCTGTTCCGTTCCATTCCATTCCATTCCATTCTGCCCCATCCCATCCCATCCCATCCCATCCCATCCCATCCCATCCCATCCCATCCCATCCCATTCCATTCCATTCTATTCTATTCTATTCTATTCTATTCTATTCTTATTCTATTCTATTCTATTCTATTCTATTCTATTCTATATGATCTATGAGAGATAGTGAGGAAGTGCTATGGAAAATGAGTTACATCGGATGGATTCAAATTTAGAATTTTGGCTTTAATTAACTAAATTGTTGTTGGAATGCAATTGTTGTCTTGTTACATTGCATATTTCATAACAGCAAAGGATGCACTCTGGGCTCTTATATCATGTTTGCTCACTTGATTGTTCCAACAAAGAGAGGTTGTTGTACATTGATTGAAATGGTATTAATTAGAACCAATTTTTATCTCCACTTCATGTTCATTATGGAGCGTGGCTCTTAGGACACCGAGGCTGACCTGGGGCTAGAAAAGAACCCATGCTGGAGCTCAGTACCTCTCCAGGGCGGCCTACACCACAATCAGGCCAAATCATGTTCAAGAATACGGCTGATTCCGGATCTCCGCACTTTCCATAAGGCCCTGAAGACGTTTTTATTTCAGCAAGCCGGTCTGGCCTGAATAGGCTTTATGGGTTAGTTTTTTAATTGTATTGCTAGGGGTTTTAAATTGGGGCAGCCATTTAATTTAATTTATTTTTAATTATTTTAACTTTTATATTGTATGTTATTTTAATTCTCGGCTGTTCACCGCCCTGAGTCCCTTCGGGGAGAAGGGCGGGATATAAATTTAATAAATAAAAATTTAATAAATAAATAAAAGAAATAATTCAACATTTCTGCTGACCAGAAGACTTTTCTTCTTTCCTGATACCAGGTAAGAAGATAATTATCTGAGAGATTTCAGCGGTTTTTCATTATTTATTTAATAGCCAAATCTTCATGCAAAATTGGGTGATAGTAACCAATCCTTAAAAAGTTTGTGGAACTTTCAGAAATTCCATTTTTCTTACTTTGTGGAATCATAAGCATACTATGCTACTAATTAGGTTGATAAATAGTAGGGAAAAAACATCTTTACCAAACACTGATAGAAATGCAAGAGTGACTTTTGACTGCATCGTGAATATGTCCCTTTTTTTCCAAAGCCACCTACCTTCTTTCTCAGAGAATGTTCCTTCCATACACAGAGAACAGTCATAGCAACAAACTGGTGTTCCCTCAATCATAACCTTGGCATGTCCCGGGTAACAACTTTCTGTACATCTAGAAGAAGGCACTACCTAATTATAACAATAAAGATCAGTCAGAGCAACATATGAATTATATGGGTTTATTTCAATGAACTGGTTTCTGGAAAACAACAAACTCAGCCATGGAATAGTGGCATAGCAATTATTGATGGATACCCCCATCTTCTATCCTTTCTCTCTGTTGGAGGTATCATCTAATAGTGACCTTTATGGAATAAGACTCTCCACAGAAATGGTAAATGAAAGTTGATTCTCTTTCTCTGTAAATCTTTACTATCAATTCAGAAACATTGTGTCAATTATCCCATTGCATTAAACAGCCAAAGAAACTCATGGGACATTTTTTTCCCCAGGAGTATAACTTTACTGAAAAGCCATATGGGAATGGAAGTAGAAAAGCCAGTTCAGATGTTTTTGCGCACAAACAGTATAGGAAAACCTTTTTTCACCCCTGCCCCTGGGCCTCCCATTGTCCACTACTCAATTGTACTTGCTTTATTTTGGACACAGCCTGTTTACTTCAGACATTTCCAGTCAATGACCTTGGGGGGTTTTTCTCACATTTCCAGGCTGCATTCTTGCATTCCAAAATTCCCTCTCAAGCCTCCCCTTAAATTCCAATGCCTTCCCTCCCTTCTCCCATTATTGTTGCAAGCAGGGCTGCATAGTGAGTTAACGATGATACAGTTTTCTACATTCTGAAGGAAAACGGTTCCATTGCAAAAGGTCCTTACTGCATGTGTGAAAGGCTATGTCTACTTTCTTCTTTTTTTGTGGGGGTGGAGGGAGGAAACTGTAGATTGTAAGGGCCCCAACACAACCGGTGATGTAGCAGTTTTCAATTTGTGGGTAACTACTAAAAAACCTCTAAAGATACATAATATACTATGAATTATACGGCTTTAGCTTTCCTTATTTGGAGGGTATGTAGACTATCATCAACCAGAATTATTTTGGAGCAGAAAATGTGGGGAGAAAAATAGAAGATTTCAAACCAAGCAGTTTTACCTACCTGACCAAATGATATTGGCCACAGGATGGCACTCTGATTGATGGAGAGCTTGACTTCAGAGGAGGCTTCTCTTTCTATACTCCCAACTTTCACCCAAGGAACAGAATTTTTGGAAGATGGTTTCCAGTTCACGATGTCAAAGTCAGCAGTCGGAATTCCATTTTCATCCAAATAAATCCCATCTCTGGAAGTGTTGTGAAGCTGAAAGTTTCTCAGAAACCAATGAAGCTGCAAAGAAGAATCACATTTTTGGCACAACAACTGAAACCAGCTTAGTGTCTCTCCCACTAAGAAATTGCCAAACACAGAACATAATCATAACTAAAGAAATCCCCTCTAGATATGGAAATCCTACACTGCCCCCCCCCAACACCAAACATGCCAACATTTGACAACACGAAACAAATACAAAGATTACCATAGAGTGAGGACAATTAACCAGTGGAACAGATTGCCTTCAGAAATTGTGGGGGCTTCATCACTGGAGGTTTGTAAGAAGAGACTGGGTAGCCACCTGTCTGAAATGGTATAGAGTCTCCTGCTTGAGCAGGGGGTTGGACCAGAATACCTCCAAGATCCCTTCCAGCTCTATTCTGATTGGGTGATTGAATATTGACATATTTGCATTTTAGCTACCCATAAGAACCTGATTGGAGGATTGCTAGGGTATCTTGAAGCTCATTTAGTTTGCAAATGAGAAAAATTGCTTTGTCACTATTGAGGTGTCTCTGTCACAAACCAGCCCAGGTAGTTTCAGTTTGGAAGAGTTATTCCCATATTGTCCCTGTCAGTCTCAAATACTATAAACTGGACAATTGCTGTTTGGAGTGTCTCACCCTTCTCTGCATCCAATTTCACACAATGAAAGGGGAGAACCCAGGGGTGGGATTCTATCGGTTCGGACTGGTTCGGCGGAACTGGTGGCTCAGACGATCAGCTGGGAGCGAACCTTTTCTCACTGATGATCAGCTGGGCCCGCCCAACCACCCCTGAGCTTTATGTACCTATATCTTCACAGCTGATTAGCGTGGCAGAACGGATTGCCACGCCTCAGCTGTTTTAATTCCCTAGCACCAATGCGGAAGTGATTTTTCATTCAATTGCGCAAGCATGTGTAGCGAAGCTCACAATCACCAAACTGGTTGTTAAGCCGGTAGGATCCCACCACTGGGAGTATCAGTGAAATCTCAAAGAAGAAGTCTTACCTGCCATGGCTGTATATACTGGAGTGACCGATGGTCTCCAACCTGCATTCGCCTCTTACTCAGTTGGGAGGAAGAGACAACATTGAGGACTGAGGCCATAGCTTGGATTGCTTTGGAAATACCGGAGCCATCCTCAGTCACCCTTCCTGCCAGCACATCATGGGGTGGTAATAGGCTGCTCTCTTTTTCTGTGCATCTTTCCCAAACTTTCTTAGACAACACAGACCTTGAAAAGGAACACTGAAACGCTTCATTTACAAACTGTTTCTCGGTAGAGGAATATGAACTAAAATTATAATATTGTCCCCTATTTGTCTGGGTGAGGAAGGAAAACAAAACATGTTTATGTTGGAGATCCAGATATTTGGAAAACAGTTTTACACATAAATATGACAAAGTTGTTGCAATCCACACTTTTTCTGCAATGAATGTATTCTTCCTTTCGCTAACATCTATTACTGATAATAGCATTACTGTGGCCTGAAAATCCAGTTGAAAAACTACAATTTTTACTTCAGTGTTGATAAGAAGGTCTACTATTTTCCTTTTTTCTTCCTCAAACATGTTTCCGGTACGTATATCCACATTTGTTGCTGGGATGACCTCTGAGAGGACAATGCAAATCCCATTTTTTACAGCTAGAGTTTCCAAACTTTTTTTAAGTTTTCTCCTCTTTCGTTGTCCTGAGAAAGGAGGCTGATCCATGTCCATTGGAAATGCAGGAGCAGCTGGACAATTGCTGAATTAGGAGGTTCTTGTTTTGGGGTCATCTGGTAGAAAAAAGGAAAATTATGCTTTGGCTCAGGTATATGGCTGAAAACACCAAAGCTGATCTAAGATGAAAGAGAATATATTGGCAGTTAGTGTCACTTTTAATAGTAATAACATTTAGACTAATATACCACTTTATAGTGCTTTACAGCCCTCTTTAAGTGGTTTTACAGAGTCAGCATTTTGCCCCCAACAATCTGGCTCCTCATTTTACCCAGCTCGGAAGGATGGAAGGCTGAGTCAACCTTGAACCTGGTGAGATTCAAACTGCCAAATTGCAGGCAGGCAGCAGCCAGCAGAAGTAGCCTGTAGTACTGCACTCCAACCACTGCAACACTGCGGCTCCTAATCCTAATCCTAAAAGATAGATGTTTAAATACTGTATAAGGGCCTTTCTCCAATGTTGAGAGAATTTTATAGAAAAAAGTATCTGTATAATTTTAGCTCGGTCCCTTAATGTTTTCTACTCTTTTAATAGGCTGTACACCACCCTGAGTCCTTCAGGAGAAGGACGGTATAGAAATAAATTATTATTATTATTATTATTATTATTATTATTATTATTATTATTATTATTATTATTATTATTATTATTATTATTATTATTATTATTATTTATTATTATTATTATTATTATTATTATTATTATTATTACTCTGCTCCTCTTTGTTTCCTCTGAGGCGAGGGAACTCTGACTTAATCTATGGGTGATCAACATGGGTGATCCCCAGGCTGCTTACATTTCTGGCCAAACTCTATCCATACAGCTATGTCTGGGTGATGAAATGGATGCAGTGAGGCACTATTGCTGTCAACAATTGAGGCTCAATTGAGTGAGCACTACACACTCTGTGGATCAGCTACATAGTAGATCATCAGGTTCTGCAAGTGGTTCAGGTCAGATAAGAGCATCTTAATATATTAGAATAGAGAACTCTCCTGATTTAACATGGATACACACAGAAAAAGTTACATTCAGATTAGGAGTGACTGTTAAATCAGACACTCCAGCTACCCTATGAAAGTACAATGACTGATCCTTTTGCTTAGGGCTGCAAGTGGTTCAGGTCAGATAAGAGAATCTTAATATATTAGAATAGAGAAAGCTTATGATTTAAAAGGGATACACACAGAGAGAACCACATTCAGATTCTAAGTGACTGTTAAATCAGACACTCTAGTGCGAAACTCCAGCTACCCTATGAAAGTACAATGACTGATCCTTTTGCTTAGGGCTCTATACATCAACAGGCATTTGAGCAGTTGAAGGCAGACCTTAAAAAGTACTTGGCTTTGGGACTTTTACAATATAGAAAGGACTTTGGACATGGTGTTTTAACTCAACAACATGGAGACTCCTATAGATGGGATGCAGTTGCACAGGCGTACTCACCTTTTTTATGTACATTGTCAGCAACAAGTTAGTTACTGACCATGCAGGGACATTCTGTTACACAGTGTGATGTCATTATGTACGTACATAAAGTACAAGCTTTTCTCAGTCATGAGAATCTTTTTTTTTTATTGAAAGAGTTTTACAGATACAGATTTTACCCCCTTCCCCCCCCTTTCCCTCCCTAACCCTCCCTTACCCTCCCCTACTCCCATAACTTCCCCAGGGTGAAATCCAAATCCAAATCACATTATATAATACTTTACCGCCCATCTACTCTACCCCCTGTGTACTATACATTTCTTCCTAACATACACCTATTCTACCCATATATACTATGCATTTCTACACAACATTCAGCTAAAAATTATCTGGTACTTCCATTTCTCCACTCCCGTACATAAATCTCTTGGATCCGGTCTTTTAGATATGCTGACATCTTCGCCAAAAACTGGCCGTCTTCAGAGTCCATTCTTCGATAGTAAACATAACATCCCTTTCCCAGTATTAACTAATCAGTAACCTGGCTATTATATACTATCACCTTATACAATATCAATTTTATTTCATCCAATAAAAAAACCTTAACTATACCCAATAAAAACAATTGAGGAGAAAATTGGAGTTTTTTCCTCAAAACATTTTATATAACCCACCAAATTTTTATCCAAAAAACCTTCACTTTCTTGCAGGTATATATGATAATAGTAACATCCAAACAATCACTTCAGATTAATTGTCTTTAATTACCATCTGCCCCCATCATTGAAGAATACTTCCATATATAACCCCCCCCCCGAGTGACTTTATATTTATATTCCATATGATATGACCAAAATCCAACCACAACGGTCATCTTTGATTTTTCTTCTGTAATGTCTTTCATCTAAATCGTTAATTCCATCAACCGTGTTAGGGTAACAACCAGATCGTCTGCAAGTGCCCTTGTTCTGTATTCCTCTTGCCTTATAGCTATTCCCTTCAACGCACTCATAGTCCATCTTTCACAAAGTTTGTAATAGAAAGTTTCAATTCACTCGATCACAGGCCTTCTCCTCATCCAAAAACACCAGCACTGCAGTGATCTGTTTATTCCTCTCAAAATAGTCCAATAAATCTATAATTTGCCTCACATTATCTTTCATATATCTGCCTTCTATAAGTCCTGCTTAGTCATAATGAATCACCTCTTAAATAACTTGCAAATCTGTTGGCTAATACTTTTGCAAAAATTTTTTTGATCCGTATTCAAGAGAAATATTAGTCTAAAATTTTTCTGATTTTGTAGAACCTGCTTCCTCTTAAGGGGGTATTTTAACCCCTTGTTATGTTCAGCTTGGCTCCTCCCATGGCTTCGAATTTTTGTGTTTTACCCTTGACTCCCTTCTTGTGTGGTGGCTTGAGTCTCTGCTGTTGTTTTTCTAGAATATGTTTGTAGGCTGAAAGAGTTAAACGCTGATCTTTAGCTTTAGAGTCCCCTGTGACTCCTTGTATTTCCATTGCCTCCATCTCGATCCGTGAGAATCTTTTATCCATCTCTGAACTACTCCTTCTATCTTATGACATGTAGCTTTTGCAGATTCCAAGGGCAACAATTTATAAATTTCTTCTTAAGAACCCAGTTGAATATTTCCTTCCTCTCATTACAGAGTATCAGAACTGTTTTTTTTCTTTTACACTAGCAGCAGCAATGCCAAGGTAGGATTTCAAAGAGGAAGTTGAAAGAGAATGTAATTATTCCAAGGATAGATTAAAGAACATTTTGGAATCATTTTGCCATTACCTACGATCGAACTCACAGCCTCCTGATTGAATTCATATAAAGGATATGCAGTCTATTTAACCCAGGGGAAAAGGACTAAAGCTATGTCCCTTCCAATGTCCTTCAAAAAGGTACAAAAATGTACCTTTTCTAGATGAAACAGATTGATTTTGCTGGTATGCTCCCATGTAAATAGAAGAAACATCTATTGGTTTTTCTATGGACCTTTAGTAATTATGGGGAGGATTTTGCTACTAGAAGAGCAGATGCTGTTGATTGACCTGGTACCAAAATGTGGCTTTTCAGTACTGATCCATTCAAGCAGAGGGAATCACTTGAAATTGGGTCATCCAAATAACAATCATGCTCTGGGCATAGACTGACAGTATCATCGTGCTTACATCCACATCCATTCTCTTTTGCCAAGAGAATTGTTTGGCCAGACTAATAGAAGTAATGGGTTGGTATTTGTCTCATTCATCACTTATACATCCTTGATCCTCATTTGTCTTTCTTTGTCATGCCCATTTTTAAAATACCCAACAACTACCATCTCCAACTCATTTTATTATCACTTTTGAAAAACTCACACTTTTATTTTCCAAAACAGCTATTGTGGGTATTTCAGCAAAAAAATCTTGCAACAGGCCACATTTTACTATTCCCATTCTCGAAATATGTGTGTGCCAAAATATTTCTCTATCGTTTCCCCAACTTTACTAGATATTCTACCATGGGACCTGAGTTCATTTACATGCTTTTTTATTTCTTTGAAGAAAGGCTCTTTAGTGGCAGAAACTGAGAAGTCACAAACTAAAGATATTGTTTCAAAGCCATGTTGTGGCAGGGAGACTAAAGTCATATCTATGCATTTTTAGGGAAACAAATTTATTTCAGGTATTTTAGTATCTAATTACCTTTTGGAGATAATATGAGGTCTGCAGTCTGGGCTAATTTGAAGATCATACAACATGGAATTAAGTTCATTTTAGCTTCATACCTGTGGAATTTTGTAGATGCCCAAGAAAGTAGAAATGTGATCAAAGAATTCAGTATCCATCTCTTCAAGAACTCCCAGCAGGTTCTTTTGTCTTCCACATCTGTAGTTTGGGACATTCTCCTGACCTGTAGACAGCAAGTCCATCATGACCTCATAGGTGATCCTGGCATTGAGGAAGTTATCGTAGATGTTGTAACCCAGTGTGATATTGGGTAACACTCTTGGGCTCTGGTTGATTTTATGAACAGTCAAGAAGAAGAGCAGGGTGAGGTGGAACATCATCGAATTACTGCAAAATAATAGCCTATTTGTACAATGTCATTAGGTAGCTCACATCCATCCATAAAGCATATCATAGATAAAACACAAATGAAAACATAGCGTTCCTCCAAGGTGTCAGACCAAACATCCTCTCAGCTGAATCCCTCATCCAAGCTCAAACCTTATAGGAAGACCAGATCTTTGCAACCATCTGGAATGCTGAAAGTAGAGTGTTATTAAGTGTACATACATATATTACTCACAATATTTTATGATTTCTTCCTACTGGATCACCTAGGAGACAATTAATGGCCAGATTCAAGTACTGGATTCAGTCTTGAACAAGTGGTATTTTCTAGCTCCTGTAAAATCCATTTGCAGAATATTATTGGCTTTGGAGTTACTGCTCTATATTCAAAAATCTTTAATATGATCGTCTACAGCTGAAACATTAACTTATCACATAAGGTTTCTGTCCTCCTTGAATTCTTTTACAATATATTCCTTTATTTGAAGCAAAGGTAAAACTGAAGCCACAACATCTTACAAAATAGGTAAAGGCATTGGTTGGAAAGAAATATTGGAAAGGGTGGAAGGATGGATAGAGTGCAACAGAGGGAAGGAGATGACACAATGTTGAGGAACCTCAAAAGATTGCCTTCTGCTCAAAAGTTTTGAGTAGCTTGATTATAACATTGCCCACTATATAACTACCATTTATATATAAAGAGTGAAAACGTACATATTTCCTGCTTTCCCACCAATCATTTGAGAACAGGCAGAACCTACTCAGGAAATTTATCTTGGAAGAATCTTGCTAAAGCTGTCTATACTGTTGAGGCAGAAGAGCTTACAAGGAGCTTTGCATGCTCAGCTTTTCACAAACCGTCATGTACCTCAGGAGCACTTTCCTTAAAGCAAATTGAGAGAAGCAATAATGCCTTTCTCAAGCGAGAAATTGGGAAAAGAGAAAACATTAACTCCTTTTTTATAACCCAGCAATCCCTTAATTCAAGGTAGAGTCACGGTGACTGAACGTTGCTGAGCATTTACTGGCCCTTCCTGATGTCATGTGGAGTTTGCAGCAGATATTTTTTCTCTGTGCCCTAGTAGAGAAACATCTGTCACTACCTAGGATTGAACTTTCAACCTTCTGATGGGGAGGCAAGTGTCTTTACCACTAGGCCACATGCCTTCCTCATGGTGAGGAATTAGGAAAAGGAAAAAACATCAAAGTGGATAAAACCTGTCACTAGAATCCTGTACTTGTCCACAAATACCTTCTCAATCTGTGGGTTGGAGCCTCAGAGAAAACATAGGGGTAACGTCGAGAAAATATTTTAGATGTTATTCCAGCAATCAGGTAGTCTCCTGGCTTGTAGTAATTAAACCCTTTCAATTCTTCTGTTATCACCTTTAGTGGACATTTCAAGCGCATCGTGGCACAGGGAAATTGGGACAGAATCAGCATCAGAAAGAGCTGCATTTGCAGCAGCAGCATTTTGCAAATATCAATTGAGATCCTTCCTATATTTCTCTCTCTGAAGTACAGTTGATCCCAGAGCTCACAAAATAGCTCACCGGCAGTGAAGATGTTGGAGTTTGCTATACATCTGGAAGAGACACTTGCAATTTCAATCTAGCACAGTCCCTGCCTAATTTGCTTTAAAAATAAAGATGGTGGAAATCTCATAAATATTTTTTTTTAAAAAACAGAATAAATAACGGTGATTTTAATAATTAGATGGGGAATTGGGAATGACTGTTGCAACAGAGGTGTGCAGTTGGAGAAAACAATTTGACATGACTCAGAGGCATTGTCCTAATTTTAGAGTCAGAAAGGGAACAATTCAGAAAAGTTTGCCTCTTACTCTAGAACTATATTTGTAAAATGTTAAAGAGTGTCCTGTGGTAAAACAATAGAATACTTTTTAACTAGGTAGTGGGGATATCATAATTTATTCTTATTCTATCTGGTGTGTATCTCAGTGAAGGTCAGCTATTCCAGAACATGATATAGCAATAGAACGTAGACTTACATACAGCATTCACAGTGCTTTAAAGCCCTCTCTAAGCAGTTTACCGAGTCAACATATTGCCCCTCACAATCTGGATCTTTATTTTACTGACTTTGGAAGGATGGAAGGCTGAGTCAACCTTGAGCCGGTCAGGATCGAATTGCTGGCAGTCAGCAGAGTTAGCCTGCAATACTGCATTCTAACCACTGCACCACCACAGTGCTGTACTGCTAACAGCAACTGTTTTTTTTTTTTTTAAATGAAAATTTTTCTGAATACTTTCCTCTCTGGATCGGTATAGAGAATAAGTGGAAATGGATTTATTTATCATGGATTGATGTATGGGTATAGCATACGGAAATGCAACATCAACTAAAACTTTAGTTTCTGAAATCAATTTAAAAATGGCATTATCAAGGAGCTTTGCTCAACATAGTTTTTAGATGAGATGAAAATCAGTTGCCAATGATATTGAGGAGTGGCTGTGTGTTGTTTCATTATTTTTCATTTCTTCTTCTTCTTCTTATTATTTATTGAATTTCTATATTGTTGGTTGAGCTTTTCTAATTAGACAATTATAACCTTTGATTTACTTATTTGCTCATGAAAATATTTTTTTTCATTCTTTTGTTCTTTTCTGCAGACAATCTAGACTCTTCTGATTGTTAGTGTGAAAATACTGAGTGCTGCTATGAAGGCACTCATCCAAATCCACATTGTTTTTAATGAAGCAGAACATTCGGAAGAATTGCCTTTTGCATTAGGAGAAAAAGGAGACCAGCTCATTTCCATCAGGAAACTGTGATACTCGTTTGTATTGTTGGAAGAAATGTCCATTTGGGTTCAGTTCCAAGTGGGGAAAAAGATACTGGATGAATGGAAGTTGCTTGGAAAGAAGGTTTATTGATGAACAGGATCACATGGCTTGAGATCCTGGGCAAAAAGGGCAGAGATGATGAGAGTGCCTGGGTTTTATGCCCTCTGTTGGGCTTTGAATTTGAGCTTGTGTTCTGCTTGGTTGTCAGACTCCCATGAGGCCATGCAGACTTGGTTGACTCTTGCTGGGTGATGATGTAATGAAAGGGCTTCGAGCAATTCCTACTATGGCTCTGCCTGAAGGAGGTAGATTTTTGTTATGTAGAATAGACTGGCCCAGGTCTTAATGGCCGATTAACAAACGGGGGTGTGTGAGTTTCTGCCTCCCTTTTAGGGGAAATATTCTGCCCTTTTAATATTTCCTACAATATCTCATTTTCCTAGGAGAGGGGTGGGTGCTAACTTCCTACAGTATCAATAAAACATTTTTGGTCTGCTAAAAGTCTACTCCATTTATTAAGCCATAATTTCAAAAATTTCTTTCTCAGTGATATACATTTCAGAATCAATCGTAAGTAATTTAATTACAATGTTTAGTCTATGAGAAGCAACATTATTCTGGGGCCTATCTAATATTATTCCTGGCCCTATCTAACAAAATCAAATTCAATGTAAATAAAAGTAAGGTTTTCCACTTAGGCAAGAAAAAAACAATTCTATAGGAACAGGCTAGGTGAAACTTGGCTGAAGGCCAGTAACTTGTGAGAGGGATTTTGAAGTCCTAGTGGACAATCACTTAAATATGAGTCAAAAGTGTGTAACAACAGCCAGAAAAGACAAGGCAATCCTAGGCTGCCTTAATAGAGGAATGAAATCAAAATCATGTGAACTTCTAGTACTGCTTTACAAACCTTAGTAACACCACACTTGGAATACTTCATCCAGTTTTGGTCACCACAGTATAAAACAGATGTGGAGACTCTGGAAAGAGTGCAGAGAAGAGCAACAAGAATGATTAGGGGGCTGGAGGCTAAAACACGTGAACAACAGTTACAGAATTAGGTATGTCTAGTGTAATGAAAAGAAGGATTAGTGGAGACATGATACCAGTGTTCCAATATTTGAGAGGCTCCTACATAGACAAGGGTGTGTGCGTGTCAAACTATTTTCCAAGGCACCAAAAGACAAAATGAGAAACAATGGTTGGAAACTAGGAGAGAAGCAACCTAAAATTAAGGAGAAATTTCTTAATGATGAGAGCAATCAACCAATGGAACAGCTTGCCTTCAGAAGTTGTGGGTGCTCTATCGCAGGAGGTTTTCAAAAAGAGACTGAACAACCATTGATCTTAAATGGTGTTGGGCCTCCTATTTGAGCAGGGGGGTAGATGAGAAGACCTCCAAGGTTTCCTCCAACTCTTATTATTTTATGTTCTCAGTTTCTTTGAATGAGTTATAAGGGACTTCACACAGGGAGAAATGTGACAAAGACTTTCCCTGGTGGTTTGTACTCACAAATCACAAGAAAGTTGACTCAGTATCAGATCTGGCCCACATGGTGCTTAGATTTGGCCCATGGGGCTGCCCTGGAAACAGCGAAGGACTGGCCTACAGTGCCTCTGAAAGCAAAAATGGAGCTCGGGAGGGCCTCACACGCAGTAGTGGAATTCAATTTTTTTTACTACTGGTTCTGTGGGCGTGGCTTTGTGGGCATGGTGTGGCTTGGTGGGCATGGCAGGGGAAGGATACTGCAAAATCTCCATTCCCTCCCCACTCCTGGGGGAAGGATATTGCAATATCTCCATTCTTACCCCACTCTGGGCCCAGCCAGAGGTGGTATTTGCCGGTTCTCTGAAGTACTCAAAATTTCCATTACTGGTTCTCCAAAACCTGTCAGAACCTGCTGAATAGCACCTCTGCTCACACTCCCGTCCTGAGCTCCATTTTTGCTGGCAGAGGGTTGCAAGAGGCTGTGGCAGCCAAAAACAGAGCTCAGGAGCCTGTTTTCGCTGGCAGAGCACCCGGGCCACCACAGATGCCCGTGACACGAGTGATGTCAAGCTGGCCACGCCCCCCCCAGCCATGCCCAACCCCCCCAGGTCAAACACAAGCCTGATGTGGCCCTCAATGAAAACGAGTTTGACACCCCTGGCCTAGAGGTATACTGTGACTGAATATGGAAAGTGGCTGAGAGATCAGGCCAAGGCAAGATGTTTACCCTGCCAGAGGTCCAGGGTCCACCAGAATTAATTGACTAGCACAATCAGTGATTCCTCTGAGCTATGATTCTTCATGAAACCCAAATATATTCATTGTACAGGAAGTTTCTTGAATAACAGCATTAAAAAGTATCCTGAATTGTTTTGATGATTACATTGGCATTGCATCATAAGTCAGGCAAACTTTTTCCCTTCCTGCAGACTAGTAAATGAAGTCATACAGAAAATAAATTGTGATTTCCAAATCCCTGTATAATTATCAAAATCACAATGATTATTTCATCTTCCACTGAAGGCTAGGGGACTTCTCTCACCCACAGTTATTTTGAAACAGAGATAGGGATATTTAGTAACCCCCGTCAACAGATTTCACAAATATTTTGTCATTCTTATAAAAATCTGAAGATCTGGTCCACAAGGACATCAAGGATTACTAGGAAGACATGGTGAGACTCCTGTAGAGACTGTACAGATCAGAATTTTAATGCTGTCCTTTTAATGTGCCAGATTAAATTTTATCTTCCTTGATCAAGTCAGTGTATCTGTGTCCTTTGGCAAGAGAGCTGTGCTTCCCTTTAGATTTCCCTGAAACTAAAGACAGTGGTGTCTTGTCTCAGAGAACTACAGAAGATCTTCATTATGATATCTGAAATGCTGCTGCTGCTGCTTCTCTTGGTGTCCCATTTTCCATGCGGGACGCTGATGACCAAATGTCCATTAAATGAGCAGAAAGAAGGAAAACACGAATTTCATTACTACAAGACAGGAGATTTCCTGATTAGTGGACTCATTTCTACATCTAGCACTGTATTTCAACCATACATCTTCTTTATGCCTCCACATCACAGATTTGTAAGGTAATTCCTGATGTGTCCTCAACGCTAGTGATTAATTTTATCCTTTCCACTGTGTTTCTTTTAATGGGGATGGTTAGCTGATATGAATGTTAAAATTCAGTTTCCAGTTGGGATGATTTTGAGCCCAAAGAAAAGCATTGGAAAGAAAGTCCTCTGTAGTCAATAGGACTATCCTTCTAACAGCAATCACCTGGCAAGGTCCCGTAATTGACTCATACAATCATCTGACTTTGTTTAATTGAACAAAGAATTTCTGAGAGTATTTCCTGAATTATACTGCAGGAAGTGAGCTTTTGGTCTGATTCTCTCCTGCTTTTCCCTTCATGACATCAATCAGAATCCAAAGCTGTTATCAAACATCATCCTGGGCAACACAATTAGAGATAGATTAGAGATGCATTCTATAACTAATTTCAGATTTTTAGATTTAGATTTCAGATTTAGACAGCAATCCAACTGATTGCTAAATGTCATAAAGGAACAGCTTCAGGTAATGTGATGTCATTTTATGAATTGAGGATGAAAACCAACTGCACTCTCTTATTTTGCAGTATAAAGAGTATGAGCTTCTGGCACGTCCTGCCCTTCTTCTTTGCCATTCATGAGGTCAACCAGAATCCAAAGCTGTTACCAAACATCTCCCTGGGATACAGCATCTATGAGAACTTTTTCAATGCAAGGATCACATCCGAAGTCATGATGGACTTGCTGTCTACAGGGCAGGAGAATGTCCCAAACTACAGTTGCGGAAGACAAAACAATCTTTTGGCTGTGTTTGAAGAGACTGATTCAGAACTCTTTAATTACATTTCAGCTATGCTAGGCACCTACAAAATTCCACAAGTATGAATGAATACTGAAGCTAATTTCATTTTATAAAGTCTACTGATAGTCCAAAAGGGGTCAGATGATAAATAAAATGTGTCAGATGACAGAGCTTTAAAGACTCCTGAAATATTATATTTTCATCAGGCATTCAAATGTCTGTTACCTTCCCACCAAAGGTGGTCCCTATTTTTCTACTTGTATTTTTTATGTGCTTTCCGAACTGCTTTGTTGGCAGAAGTTGGGACAAGTAACGGGAGCAAACCCCGTTCCACAGCACTAGGGATTCGAGCTAATGAATTGCCGACCTTTCGATCGACAAGCTCAGTGTCTTAGCCACTGAGTATAACTTGGTGAATATATTTGACCACTTGATGTGTGAGTATAGGGTTAGCATCAGAAAAAAAAAATCCCTTTGAGGTAAGGACTTATTTTTGTCCTGAAAAGCAAAGCAATTGACCATATTTTTTCTCTTACATCTTAGATCAACTATGGGGTCATCAGCCACATTCCAGAGCAGAAACACCATTTTCCTTTTTTCTACCGGGTGAGTCCAAAGCAAGAACCTCCTCACTTGGCAATTGTCAAACTGCTCCTGCATTTCCGATGGACGTGGATTGGCCTTGCTGCTCCGGACAATGAAACTGGAGAAAAGTTCAGAAGAACCTTTGTGCCAGAAGCCCTAAAGAAAGGCGTCTGTGTTGCCTTCTCTGAAAGCTTACCTGTGGTTCTTAGAATAGGGAGGGATAAGCAATTTTTTCAATATTTTAGTGACAGTAGAGTGAAAAGTATTGTTTGTCAGTTGGATTCTCAGACCACATTAATAGTAGCAGTGCTAATACAACGCATTGAAAAGAATCAAATCCTGTTTAAGGAAAAAGTATGGATTGCTACAGCTTTGTCAGATATCGGTGTGAGATTATTTTACCAGTTTGTTAATCTCCAGCATAACCATCTTATATTATCCTTCTCAACTCAATCAAAGAAAAGGACACAATATTATGATTTTAATTCACATTACTCTGCTGCAGAGAAGTTTGGCGAGGCAGCATTTCAGTGTTCCTATTCAATCCCCTTGTTGTCTAAGAAAGTTTGGAAGAGATGCCTGGAGAAAGAGAGCTGGGAAATCCCAGCCCAGGATCTGGTTGAAAGAATCCTGTCTGAGGATGGCTCCAGTATTTCCACAGCAATCCAGGTTGTGGCCTGGGCCCTCAGTGCTGCTTTTTCCTCCCAAAGGAGTAAGAGGAAGATGCATATTTGGGATATCCAGATGGTACAGCCGTGTCATGTAATGGTTTTTCACAATTCTGCTGATGGTTCCCTTTCAGTTCTTAAATGTTATTTTAAAGATAATCAGAGATGGGTGGGGGGAGCGGCGGATCCCAACAAAAACTGCCAGTTTCTAATATTTCTTCTGAGCAGATGAGGAGGTTTGGAGAGAGAGAAAGACAGACAGAGAGAGAGAGAGAGAGAGAGAGAGAGAGAGAGAGAGAGGGAGAGGGAGAGGGAGAGGGAGGGAGGGAGAGATTGTGTTGGTAAATCTTCCAGACTAAACAAGAGATGCTTCTGAGAATAGGCAATGATGTCGGAAAAAACTGGAAGGTTCTTTCCACAATTGCTGAATAAATAAACAGTAGGATGCCACCAAAACCATCATCTTCTCTTGAAGATCTAACATTGGCCTCATGTAGTTCTGAATTGCTGTCCTGCCATGCAAAGAGGAGTCAAATCTTTCTTCCTCTTAGCATCTTCAGGTTGAAGCTACAGAAAGCACACTACAGCTTCCTTGTTATTGCCTGGCAATTTTCTCTTCTGTGTTTGCCATCTCCCAAGATTCTTTTCCTCTCCTTTGAAAATTAAATCTTAGTATTTGGAACCATTGATGGAATTCATTTTTTTTTTTACTACCGGTTGTGTGGGCGTAGCTTGGTGGGCATGGCTTGGTGGGGGTGGCAGGGGAAGGATACTGCAAAATCCCCATTCCCACCCCACTCCAGGGGAAGGATACTGCAAAATCCCCATTCCCACCCCACTCTGAGACCAGCCAGAGGTGGCATTTGCTGGTTCTCCGAACTACTCAAAGTTTCTGCTACCGGTTCTTCAGAACCTGTCAGAACCTGCTGAATAGCACCCCTGTTTCAAACCCAATCATTTCTCCCAATCCTTTCACATTCCACCACCAACTGTTGGTTCCATAAAGCTACTATAGAAAAATAAAACTTGTAGAGCTTAGAAAGAGCGTATAATAATACATTGGTAAGGAATGTGTTGTTTCTATTGACCATTTTATTCACTTCCAAATGCCTCCATTGTTCTTCCGTGTTTCCAGGACATCAGAACAGAAGTGATTTCTCTGGCTGTGCAATTTTCCAACTGTGATACATATCAGCTAATAAGGGGGAAAAAAACTTCCATTCACAATGTTGTGGGGAAAAGTCAGGTTGCATCATGATGTCACCTCTGGTTGTAAAACTAGCTCTCATTTCTAGTGGCTTTTCTAAACCTCACTGTTTCATTTTGTAATATTTTCTCTTCCAGAGAGTGTGATGGAAATCCCATCCTTTCTTTTTTTTAACAGGCATTGCATATATCTCTTTTTCTCACTTTTTTTCTTACACTACCTAGATGAGTGCATGTTTCCTTCCAGCTGGTGACTTGGACACAGGGAGGCAGGCAACAAATCTGCAACAAAGGGGAAGCAGCAGGGGTGCCTTAGGACATTGGCCAAAGGAGACTGAAAATTTAGGACCAGCCTTTTGTTTTTGACTCAAAGCCAAGATGGAGTTAATGTTCTAGTCAAGCAAAATTGGGACAATCCTTTTTGTAATACCAATACAATTAGTGGGAAAACTACCATAGGAATATGGTGAGATTGTCGGAGTCATAATATGTTTGGAATCTGAGATTACCAATTTCATAAAGCAGGCAAAAAATATTAAACTGAAAAAGGTTTGTGTGTATGTGTATGTGTGTGTGTGTGTGTGAGAGAGAGAGAGACAGTGGGAGTGGGAAAGAAAGAGAGGGGGAGAGGGAATTAGAGAGAGAAAAAACAATCTTCCTACCACATTTGCAGACAGAAACACCGGGGTAAAGTATCCCTGTTTTGATTTAGGGTTGAAATGGGAACGTATACATTGCAAGTGTGATTCTCCATATCTTTTCAGCTCCATCCTTTTCTAAGAAACTTCCAGATTTACAATTTTTCTGTAAATGATGTTTATTTGGATGAGAATGGAATTCCTACTGCTGACTTTGATATCATGGACTGGGCAGTATTTCCCAACAAATCTGCTGCTGGGGTGGTAATTGGGAATATTGGAAAAGAAGAAGTCTCTTCAGATATCAAGGTCTCTATCCACGAGAGTGCCATCATATGGCCAACGTCTTTTAACCAGGTAACCAAATCTGCCTCTTTTTGGGTTTTATTATTTATCTATTCCTATATATCCATGTGATTTTATGGTTTTTCAGCCTTTTCACTATAATGGAGGACCTGCACTGGTAAAAAGGCAGTTGAAGGAGACACTACTATTTCCCCTGGACCTCTCAAAAGATCTATTGCTTATGGTGGGAATATCAGCATTGTTCTAGGGTTGGAGGCACTTAGTTAGTGGAATCTTTGGTGTTCTCTGAGCTTGGTTGTTGTTTGCAGGTATTTTATTGGTTGCTTACCGAACTAAGTAACATCATCGATGCCTGATGTGCTTGATGATAGCACTGATAATGTTATCTAGTCAAATGAATGCAAGCATACAACCAAACTGAGAGAGCATCAAGGAGTTTACAGTTCAATCCTGCGTTACAGAGATTCTCTTCTATTGAATCTTATCCAATGTTTGTTCACAACTAGAGTCTGCTTTGAGACTGAGTTGATAGGAAATTGAGATCTAACAAATGCATATTGAAAGAAGCCAGAGGACATGTTGTGATAGATTGTGTTCTAGCAATTGCTAAGATAGGAGAGAGCAACCCTGTGGTTTCCATGCTTTGGACTACACTTTCCACAGTTTTGTGTCATTGACCAGTTGGCTGAATCTGATGGGATCTGAAGTTCAAATGCAGAAAAATCCCAGAAGGATAATGATGCCTGGACTGGAGAATCAACAGCCTTTTCTGAACATTAAGGGGACTCTGGGATCATAGCTGCTGAAATGAAACAGCTAGTGAAGACTTTTCACTAAGAGAAAATTATTTTCATTATATTTGGAAAAAGATCTTGAAAGTATCTTTTTGAATTCCTGAACCCACTTTGGTGCTCAGTTCCATTTCTAGAAGTAACCCCCTCATTTCTATGTTTCTCTGACTTCCTTTCTGTTTAGAAGGCCCCCTTTTCTAGGTGTATTGAAAGTTGCCTCCCAGGATATACCAAGCTCTTGAGGGAGGGAGAACCACTTTGCTGTTATGACTGTTCTCCATGCATGGAAGGAACCATCTCTGTGCAGGAAGGTCGGTAGTTCAAGAACAAAGAAGGAGCACCATATATTTTAAGGACAATATATTAGCAATAGCAATTGCACTTAGACATAGAGGGTGCTTTATATCATCCTCTAAGCTATTTACAGAGTCAGCATATTGTCCCCAACAAAGTGAGTCCACATTTTGCCAACCTCAAAAGGAAGGAAGGCTGAGTCAACCTTGAGCTGATCAGGATTGAATTCCAGGCTCTGGGCAGAGTTAGCCTGCAATACTGTATTCTAATCACTGTGCTACCACCGTTCTGGTATTACCAAGATTTGATGTCATATGCCGATATGCTACATCCAGACTCAGGAAGCAGACTAAAATCACTTCAGTGAAGGTAGAATTCACGGTGGTGGATTTTTTTCACAAACTGCTGAAACAATAACAAACCATCTTGAAAAAGATTGAGAGACCTTGAGAAAGATGACAGCATTTGAAATACTCATACAAAATAAGATTTATGATTTAGAGCCATATATAAATTGTTTTTGAAATATAACATGGAGATGGAAAAAATAAACATTTGTATGATAAAATGGATGCAAGACATCAAAGGAATAATCCTAATGCAAAAATGAGAAGAGTTTTCAACAAGAAAAATATAGAAAATTCACTCCAAGTTATAATTTAAGGCGAAACTGCTGCAAAATGTTTTACAGGTGGTCTATAAATATAATTGCATAATAAACAAATCATATAACAATAAATGTGTACATCCTATATCTGAAAAGTTGGCTATGATTTATTTATTTTATTTATTTATTTTGTCGCATTTCTATGCCGCCCGACTCCCAAGGGACTCTTGGGAGTTGGGCGGCATAAAATGATGTGCTGAATGTCACTCAATCACTTGTTAAAAAACAGTATTTTGTGTTTTCCAGATGTAGCCCATTGTGAAAAGTGTCCAGATGACCACCATTCCAACAACAAACGAGATCTGTGTGTTCCCAAAGTTATGACATTTCTGTCCTACAGAGAAAACTTAGGTCTTGTTCTGGCTATCTCTGCCCTTTTTTTGTCTCTAATCACTGCCTCAGTTCTAGGAATTTTTATTAAATATCGAGAAACTCCCATAGTCAAAGCCAACAACCGGGATCTCACCTACATTCTGCTGATCTTTCTCTTGCTTTCCTTCTTGACTTCCCTTCTCTTCATTGGTCAACCCAAGAAAGCGACCTGCCTTCTTCGACAAACTGCCTTCAGTGTTGTTTTCTCAGTTGCCGTGTCATCCTTGCTGGCCAAGACTATCATGGTGGTGGTGGCATTTCTGGCCACAAAGCCAGGCAGCAGGATGAGGAAATGGCTGGGGAAATCTCTGGCCAATTTCATCATCTTCTCCTGCTCTGGTGTTCAGGTGGGCATCTGTTTCATATGGCTGGGAATCTTTCTCCCATTCCCAGATTCTGACTTCTATTCCCAAAAAGGACAGATCCTACTGCAATGCAATGAAGGTTCAGTTACAATGTTTTACAGTGCCCTTGGCTATATGGGCTTTCTGGCTGCCATATGCTTCTTGGTGGCGTTCCTGGCCCGGAGGTTGCCAGGCTCTTTCAACGAAGCCAAGCTGATCACCTTCAGCATGTTGGTTTTTTGCAGTGTTTGGGTCTCCTTTGTCCCCACCTACCTGAGCACCAAAGGGAAATACATGGTGGCTGTGCAGATCTTCTCCATCCTGACTTCCAGCCTGGGCTTACTGGGCTGCATCTTTGTCCCCAAATGTTACGTCATCATTCTGAGACCTGATTTGAACATGAAGGAGCATCTAATGATGAAAAACAACTAGAGCTCTTGATTTTGGCAATTATTGTTTTTATCCAAATGGTAGCTAAAATAAAATAAGACATTGCAAATTGCAATAAGATTGCAAAATTGCAAATTTTTTGGTATTTGTTCTAAGAATTTTTTCTTTCTTCCATGTGATTAATCTTGCTATCAATAAATAGCATAGGAAAGTTATTGATGTTTCTTCCAGCAGTTTAAAACCATGTTATTTGTCTTCCAATCTACATTTCTTCAATATCCATTCAGCATACAAGTTGAATAAATAAGAAGGATGTCAGCCCTGGAAGCCATCTTTTTCTTTAGAGCTTCTGAGCTGTCACATTTAGTGCCTGGGAAAACGGGATGGGGGATTTCAAGGAGTCGGTGGAGAATTAGCCATAACAACATTCCTTTCTCTGGGAACCAAGGACAATCAGCCTGCACCTGGATGGGCGTGCCCGGGGGTTTGCCTCCAGTTGGGACAGTGAATTGATTGGATCATGTGATGGACATGTGGGTGAAGGGGATGGAACTTTGACTTTCTTTTGGGTGAGGAAAACTGGAAGCTTTCAGATTTGGGTTTTCCCAGATGTGTCAATATGACTTCTCTAATAAAATGGAACTTTTAGGAATTGCCAGCCTCGGAGTCTTCTTTTGTTGGGGTTGAAACTTGGAATGCTGCCAAAGGGAGTATACAGTCTTGTCTCATTTTTGTCTCACAAGAGTGATCTGGAATCCCTCTGCTTAACTCTGTTTTGTTCAGAGTCTGGCTTCGGGTCCTTGTGTAGGTTTCTTATAAGGATAGGGAGATATTGTAGGATTCTCATTTCTCAAAAACATTTCATAACTCAACATAATTTGTTTTAGTGACTCATTTATTTTAAAAGATTTGTATGGCCACCTATATTAACACATATTTTATGTTCTATAATCTTCAAAAGCCATGAGTATTTTTGATTTTGGTTTATCCAATCAGTAACTGATATCTGCTTTGCATATTTAACTTTTCTTTCTACTTTCCCTCAAGCCACACCATTCACTCTGTCAATGCACAGATTTCTTTCCTCTCCCCCCATTGTCTCCAAATTTTAAGCGAGACCAGCAGAATGAAGATATGAGTCTGTACTTGCCAATCACAAGAGAGTTGACACAGTAGAGGAACTTGATAATGTTTTTGTGAGGGAAAATTCATTCCCCACCCTCTCAATGGGTCTAGAGCACAGGTGTGAAACTGGGGTCCCATGGGCCATGCTGGTCACACCCTGTTTACCGAGGGGAAAAGAAGTCACGATATGTCATGTGATGAAGCTGTGATGATGCGAGTTTGACACCCCTGGCCTAGAGGTATAGGTAGTCCTCAGCTTATGACCACAATGGAGCCCAACATTTCTGTTGCTAAGTGAGACAATTGTTAAATGAATTTTGCCCCATTTTATGACCTTTCTTGCCACAGTTCTTAAGTGAATCACTGCAGTTGTTAAATCAGTAAGTTGATTGTTAAATGAATCTGGTTTCTGTCAGAGTTTGCTGCAGCAATCAAATCCAGAAAGCACACACAGGTAACTGATTCAGCAGGATTCATTAACTTCTCTTTATATATAAAAAACACATGAAAGTAAATATACAATACCAATGGCTGATTCTTCCAACATGGTAGAGAGTACAGGCAAACACAGGCAGAGGAGAGAATAGTTTCAGTTTCAATTCAGCAGACTAGTTTTTGAGATTAAGTTTAACCACACCCAGACTCCTTGCTGTCTCCAGCAAATACTGTTTCAGTTTCCAAACAGTCCCCATTGGCTGACCTTGTTCTCTGCCAGTCATGAATTCTCATACACACTGACAGTTTCCTCTTTGACTTTACTTGCCATAAAGTTGCAAAAGGTGATCACATGATTCCAGGACACTGCAACTATCTTAAAATTGAACCACTTTTCAAGCATCCAGATTTTGATTACATGCCCACGAGGAATCTGCAATAGTTGTAAGTGTGAAACATGGTTATAAGTCACTTTTTTCAATAATGCTGTAACTTTCAATGGTCACCAAATGAGTTGTTGTAAGCCGAGGACTACCTATGTATTGTGTTTCAATATTGAAAGCTGATGAGAGACCCAGCAGAGGCAGGATTAATACCCCATCCTAATTCAAGGTCCACCAGAGTTAATTTACAAGCACAATCAGTGTTTTCTCTGTGCTATGACTCAACATGAAACCCAAATATAACAGGACCAGATATTCTGCTTCCTCCAAAGTAATAATGGGAATAAAAAGTTTCCTGAGTCGTTATTTTGATGATTAAATTCTAACTAGGTCCATAACTCATGCAAAAATTTTTCCCCTCAGGCACACTTGTAAGTGAAGTCAAACAGAGAATCAACTGTGATTCCCAAATCCCTGTATAATTATCAAAATCACAATGATTACTTCATCTTCCACTAAAGCCTAGGGGACTTCTCCCACCCACGGTTATTTTGAAACCAAGGTATGGATATTTAGTAACCCCCATCAACAGATTTCATAAATATTTTGTAATTCTTATAAAAATCTGAAGATCTGATCCACAAGGATCTCAAGGACTACAAAGAAGACATGGTGAGACTCCTGTAGGCACATTGTACAGGTCTGAATTTTAATTCTGTCCTTTTAATGTGCCAGATTAAATTTTATCTTGCTTGGTGAAGTCCGTGTATCTGTGTCCTTTGGCAAGAGAGCTGTGCTTCCCCTAAAGATTTCCCTGAAACTAAAGACAGTGGTGTCTTGTCTCAGAGAACTACAGAAGATCTTCATTGTGATATCTGAAATGCTACTGCTGCTGCTGCTTCTCTTGGTGTCCCATTTTTCATGTGGGAGGCTGATGACCAAATGTCCCTTAAATGCGCAGAAAGAAGGAAAGCACGAATTTCATTACTACAAGACAGGAGATTTTCTGATTAGTGGACTCATATCTACATCTAGCGCTGTATTTCAACCATACATCTTCTTTAAGCCTCCAAACCACAGATTTGTAAGGTAATTCCTGATGTGTCCTCAACGCTAGCGATTAATTTTATCCTTTCCACTGTGTTTCTTTTAATGGGGATGGTTAGCTGATATGAATGCTAAAATTTTATATGTTTTAACTTTTAATATTGACTGTGATATTAGCAGTCTATGATTAAAACTATCTAGAATTTCCAGTTGGGATGATTTTGAGCCCGAAGAAAAGCATTGGAAAGAAAGTCCTCTGTAGTCAATAGGACTATCCTTCTAACAGCAACACCCAATCACCTGGCAAGGTCCCGTAAATGACTCATTCAATCATCTGACTTTGTTTAATTGAACAAAGAATTTCTGAGAATATTTCCTGCATTATAATGCAGGAAATGAGCTTTTGGTCTGATTCCCTCCTGCTTTTCCCTTCATGAGGTCAATCAGAATCCCAAGCTGTTATCAAACATCATCTTGGGCAACACAATTAAAGATATATTAGAGATGCATTCTATAACTAATTTCAGATTTTTAGATTGTTAAATTTCCAGGCTAGTCTCATAAGACAGCAATCCAACTGATTGCTAAATGTCATAAAGGAACAGCTTCAGATAATGTGATGTCATTTTATGACTTGAGGATGAAAACCAACTGCACTCTCTTATTTTGCAGTATAAAGAGTATGAGCTTCTGGCACGTCCTGCCTTTCTTCTTTGCCATTCATGAGGTCAACCAGAATCCAAAGCTGTTACCAAACATCACCCTGGGATACAGCATCTATGAGAACTTTTTCAATGCAAGGATCACATCCGAAGTCATGATGGACTTGCTGTCTACAGGGCAGGAGAATGTCCCAAACTACAGTTGCGGAAGACAAAACAATCTTTTGGCTGTGTTTGAAGAGACTGATTCAGAACTCTTTAATTACATTTCAGCTATGCTAGGCACCTACAAAATTCCACAAGTATGAATGAATACTGAAGCTAATTTAATTTTATAAAGTCTACTGATAGTCCAAAAGGGGTCAGATGATAAATAAAATGTGTCATGACAGAGCTTAAAAGACACCTGAAATATTATATTTTCATCAGGTATTCAAATGTCTGTTACCTTCCCACCAAAGGTGGTCCCTATTTTTCTACTTGTATTTTTTACGTGCTTTCCGAACTGCTTTGTTGGCAGAAGCTGGGACAAGTAACGGGAACTCACCCCATTCCACAGCACTAGGGAATCGAACCACTGAATTGCCGACCTTTCGATCGACAAGCTCAGTGTCTTAGCCACTGAGTATAACTTGGTGAATATATTTGACCACTTGATGTGTGAGTATAGGGTTAGCATCAGAAAAAAAAATCCCTTTGAGGTAAGGACTTATTTTTGTCCTGAAAAGCAAAGCAATTCACCATATTTTTTCTCTTACATGTTAGATCAACTACGGGGTCATCAGCCACATTCCAGAGGAGAAACACCATTTTCCTTTTTTCTACCGGGTGAGTCCAAAGCAAGAACCTCCTCACTTGGCAATTTTCAAACTGCTCCTGCATTTCCGATGGACGTGGATCGGCCTTGCTGCTCCGGACAATGAAACTGGAGAAAAGTTCAGAAGAACCTTTGTGCCAGAAGCCCTAAAGAAAGGCGTCTGTGTTGCCTTCTCTGAAAGCTTACCTGTGGTTTTTAGAATAGGGAGGGATAAGCAATTTTTTCAATATTTTAGTGACAGTAGAGTGAAAAGTATTGTTTGTCAGTTGGATTCTCAGACCACATTAATAGTAGCAGTGTTAATACAACAAATTGAAAAGCATCAAATCCTGTTTAAGGAAAAAGTATGGATTGCTACAGCTTTGTCAGATATCGGTGTGAGATTATTTTACCAGTTTGTTAATCTCCAGCATAACCATCTTATATTATCCTTCTCAACTCAATCAAAGAAAAGGACAAAATATTATGATTTTAATTCACATTACTCTGCTGCAGAGAAGTTTGGCGAGGCAGCATTTCAGTGTTCCTATTCAATCCCCTTGTTGTCTAAGAAAGTTTGGAAGAGATGCCTGGAGAAAGAGAGCTGGGAAATCCCAGCCCAGGATCTGGTTGAAAGAATCCTGTCTGAGGATGGCTCCAGTATTTCCACAGCAATCCAGGTTGTGGCCTGGGCCCTCAGTGCTGCCTTTTCCTCCCAAAGGAGTAAGAGGAAGATGCATATTTGGGATAACCAGATGGTACAGCCGTGTCATGTAATGGTTTTTCACAATTTTGCTGATGGTTCCCTTTCAGTTCTTAAATGTTATGTTAAAGATAATCAGAGATGGATGGGGGGGGGGGGGGCGGATCCCAACAAAAACTGCCAGTTTCTAATATTTCTTCTGAGCAGATGAGGAGGTTTGGAGAGAGAGAGAGAGAGGGAGGGAGGGAGGGAGGGAGGGAGGGAGGGAGAGAGAGAGAGAGAGAGAGAGAGAGAGAGAGAGAGAGAGAGAGAGAGAGAGAGAGAGAGAGAGAGAGAGAGAGAGAGATTGTGTTGGTGAATGTTCCAGACTAAACAAGAGATGCTTCTGAGAATAGGCAATAATGTCTAAAAAAACTGGAAGGTTCTTTCCACAATTGCTGAATAAATAAACAGTAGGATGCCACAATAACCATCATGTTCTCTTGAAGATCTAAA